ATTAGGATAATTATCGAGTTCTAACAAAATAATTAATTATTATCTTTGTAAGAAAATTATATTATTAAACCAAATATAAATTAATTCGTTATTGTACCTAAATTAAATTATAATAAAAAAATTGAATTAAAAAATTACACAAAAAATGAGGAATTTTGAATAATTAATTTGATACGAATATCGATATATTTTTGTTATACATAAAGTACTGTATATTGATGCATATTACTTAAAATTCAAGATTACAAGTAATTATGCATAAATATAACTTATTAAATCTCGATGTTTGAATTCGTATAAATAACTGCGGATAAACATAATCAAATAGAGAATGAACATCTCATTTTAAAATCTAAAATATAATTAGAATAATTATCGAGTTCCAACAAAATAAATAATTATTATTTTTATAAAAAAATTATATTATTAAATCAAATATAAATTACTTCGTTATTGTACATAAATTAAATTATAAAAAAATTAAATAAAAAAATTACACAAAAAAATGAGGAATTTCAAATAGTTAATTTGATACTAATATCGATATATTCTTTGTCAAATTTTTATGATATCTTCAAACATATATTTTATTCAAAAATAAAAACATCATCGTTTTCTCAAAATCACATAAAGTCATATTATAACATCTACTGAGATAAAAAATAAAATAAAATATTAAAATCATGATATATCTCGCTGCATTGCGCGAGTACGCTTCTAGTTTAAAATTAATCTATTTAATTGATATCCTTATACTCTCAATGAATAAATGATGCGGTTTCACGTAATTAGTAGACACGAAGGAACCAAAGATTTGGAACATATTTTATAAAAAACCTCACGCCCCTAGAAATTGCAAACTAGAATCCAAACCAACAATAATAACCAAACTTGGCCATGAACGATTTTACAAACTATACCCACACTCACACACACGCATCCACACCATTTTAACACCAAATCGTCCATCATCCTCTCGATGGTGTTTCGGTTTTATTATTACCTGTTATGAATGCTTCGTAATTACACACATCATCTACGCCGCTAAATAACAACTCATCCACGACTGGAAACGAGACCATGCAAGCTCCGCAGTAGCTTCATTCTCATCTGTTGCTCCCATTCCCTTTCTCCTCTCGATACCTTCAGGAGAAGTGTTCATGAATGCATGAGTTGCCCCCGGATACAAATGTACCTCAAACGGCTTCCCTGATTCCTTCAGTTTTTCCTCCAGACCTTTAGCAGCCTACAAATTAACCCCAAAACTTTAATATCAGAAAGAGCCTGCTATCACTACATGCACAAACTAATTCATGAAATTTTGGCCATACCCCAAGATTCAATTTTGTAATTTAGGGGTCGTTTACCAACACAAATTTAGTAAGCGCTGACTGGCTAAGAGTGCAGTTTAGAGTAAGGGGCCATTTTGGTTGGTTTCCAATTAAGTTTTGTATGGATAAAGTTGTCTGTGTGGATTAATCTTTGTATAGATTGAGAATGTTTTTGTTTGGGAGAGTTTTTTTCATAGATGGAAGGAGCGTGTTTTTAAATTAGGAGGGGAAGATTTGGAAAAAATCTTGGCTTTCCACATAAGACTCCCCCTAGAAGCTTACTGAATAATCCACTTTCTATATCATTAAACCACTACCAAACAACCATGTATAGCCGTCCAAATAAGCTATGAGTCTTACTAAACTCGTTAGGCAGCTAACAGACAGGCCTAAGAGTTATTCCCTTAGTTTACCAAGTCAACATCATGAATCAATAAAAGGGGATTGGTAAACAGCAGCATCTCTAACTGGGTAAATGCCTCTTACCCGGTAAGAGAATGTAAGCAGAAAACAACTCCTTACGCTTTCTATATATTACTTCAAGTACAAAACATATTTTATATATAATCCGGAATATATGTTAAGAGAAAAGTATTTGAGGCATCTCAAACGATTAGTGTTTATTATCAAAGATGACCCTTTCTTACAAAAGATTTTAAGCGACTAACCATGTAAGAGTACAGTCTTGGTCAACAGTAATTACTGACCAAGTAAGAGTTACTCCCTTACTTTACTAGGCAGCATCATGGATCAGTAAAAGGGGCTCAGTAAACATCAGCATCTCTAACTGGGAAAACGCCTCTTACCCAGTAAGAGACGGTAAGTAGATAGAAACAACCCCTTACTCTTTCTATATATAACTTCGAGTACAAGATGTACGCAAAGCTGACCTCTACCCCAGAGAGTAGAGCGTTTCTTTCCGTTAAGACTTTGCTTGCGATATTCAAGCTCAAGCTTGACGGCATGTCAGCTAGGATTATGAATTTATAATATGTTCTAATGCTAAAATGATGAATCCACATCAATGATTTCATACCTTAACATCTGAAAAACCAACAATATTGTCAAGTTCTCCAAAATGAGCTTGAATAGGTACTTTGGTGTTGGTAGGATCCGCAAGCTCAGGAGGAGGAACTCCATAAAATGCTACAACAGCATCAACCTCGGATACTAAAACAGAACTTGCAATAGCAAGAGCACCACCCATGCAATAGCCGGTCACACCAACCTATATCAGCACTCCAACATCAAGCTCACAAGCAGTGGATATCGAAAGTATATTATGGATCCTAGTCCAAAGTAAGATATGGAGCCTATTTATACTGTATGCAAAAAACACTCGATTACAAATGATAATTATCCCCTCAATCCCAAAATAAATGTCTGCAATGAAAAAGGCATACAGTTATAAAACGGTATAATTATTACATCTTTCATCTTGTACAATTATTATTGTGTTCGCATGATTATCAATCCTAACACATACATAATCGCAGAACCAGTACCAAATAGCAAAAACCAGAGACTGTGCCAACTTTACAACCTATCCCACACTTATATCAACAGTCATTTTCTTTCCAAAGTTGGTGTAAAATGATACTCCCTCCGTTCCAAAATAAGCGTTATATTTCTATTTTAGATTGTCCCAAAATAAGTGTATACTTTCATATAGTAGTGCCTACTTTTAATTCTACCCTTTAATGTGAGATGGAGAAATTCCTTACTGACTCTATTATTAAGGTTAAAATTGTCATTTAGTTGATTAAAAAGTGTAAGTAATAACTACATTCTTCTAAACTTGTGTGCCTTTTTCATCGTGGACATTTAGTTTGGGACGGAGGGAGTACAATGTACTAAATACTACCATATTGTTACATGAATCCTATATAGTCGCAGGTTTAGAGAAAATTCCACTCTATCAGTTTCTACCAAATTTGGTCTAAAATGATACGATGTACTTAATACTACCAGTTATGTTATATGAATCCAAGATAGTTGCAGGTTAAGAGAAAGCTTTTATGCGACTACAAAACAAGATTTTCTCAGGAGAACAGTCAACAAGGAAGCAAAAAATTAACTTCCCACTGTCTTACAGTGGCCACTGGTTAAACAAATTGACTAACATACTCAAACTAGTGTCAATATTAGTATTGTGTCGAGGCATTGCTTTAGAAAAGATGACAGACCTTATGCGACCACGGGTTAAACAAATCAAGTAAAATACTAAAACTAGTTATTTTAGTAGCATCTTGTCAAGGCAATTATTTTGGGAAACAATGGCAGACCTTCTGCGAGCCATTGGCCTTGAGCCAGTTTACTGAAGCCTGAATATCCTTTACAGCACCTTGCCAGTCAAGACCATCCATCAAATGTTGTGCCTCCGCAGCATCAAGACCAACCTTTCCACGGTACAAACTGAAATAGTGAAAGGAGAGTATTGTTAAATTACAGGAGGAAGATGAAACACTGATTAAGTTTATAACCAACAGTGATGTGCTTGAACTAAGGTAAATAGTTTACTCAGGAATAAGTGCTTTGTAGCCAGGCTCAAGTTTGGAAATTTTAAGGGCATGATTCTTGATCTCAAAATCGACTCCCCACCACTCCTGAAGAACTACAATTCCAGGAGCATCTTCTTTGCCAACCACATATGCATCAAATGTCTGCAACAAACATGTGCATAACTTCAAGGTCAACAAATCATACAATAAGGCAGAATGGACACAACTAGTTTAGACTTTTGACAAGCTATCCTCGTTCATCCCCTTCAACATGATTAGGGTGAGTGCCTCTACAAAAGAGGCAAAACAAGGCAATCTCTCCATACAATGGGGCTCCATTTAGTTCAAGCATTAAAAATTGGAAAAACAAAGAAAACTTACAAGTTTTCAAAGATGATTGCTTTTGAAATATGTATGAAATACTCTAGGACCAACTGTTCCCTCTTTTTAATAGCATAATCACCACACTTATCTTTTACCATATTTTGATATGCAGAAACTAACATATTTTCAGTATGACGTTATCTAATATGTGGAATCTCAAGTGATTAAAAAGTGCTTGTGAAATCCTTCTCACCACTACACTATGTAAAGCCTGTGCGAGCTTCACCATGTGATAGAATTCCACAAGTGTTTTAACTGTGTGGGGTTTCACCATGTAGATATTTTCTTCCAATATATCATGCACAATTACCCCATACAACAATGTCCCCTCCCACAGCATTACACTACAGAAAGATTGGTAACCTATTCTGCTTTATAAATCTTCAGTTGTTATTCAATATTGGAGAAGCTTTAGAAGGCCCTTAACGCCATTTCATCCCCCCCTAAAGTAGAGACCAATCTTTCATATAGATGAGAATAAAGTAGTGAGCTCAGAATCTATTGATGTGACTTCAAATATGCATACTATTTGCATGGAGCAATAATTTGGTGCTTTTTCATCATATTAGACAAACTGGCACCAAAATTATAGTTACATCACAAACTTTTTCCAGCATAATGAATTTCTTATGTCAAATAAGTCAATTACTTCAATTCTGTTTCAGAGATTAAAATCATGGTTAATGGCAGGTACATTGTGGTGTGATAGAACATAGTACCATTGTGCTCCTTACTTTCTCCTTATCTTATCAAATCTCCATTGATTCCATATCCTAAAGGAAACTTGTTTGACCACAAAAGTTGAACATCTCCAATTTCGAATGAAATTAAATTTTACGACGAGATGAGATAGGATTGTTGCGAGGAAGACGCTCGATCTCTAATTCCGAATGAGAACCGTTTCATAGTTCTTACTGTAATTAAGCACGTTACACGAAGAGGAAATTATTTTCTTTTTCATCTCCGGCCATTTCTAAATTCTCATTGTAACTGAGCGTCTTCCACGATTAGCCCAAATGAATCACCATCTCTATCAAAATCAAAAGTTCGCACACATCATACTTTTTGAATTGAACTACCAATCTAAAAATGAGAACCGTTTTCCTTTCCAATCCATATCGTCTCGTAGTTCTCGTCATGATCGAGCGTCTCTCGAAAGCAATTCATAGAATCCCTTTCTATTTCACTTCAAAACCCCCAAAAAAGGATAATAACAAACAAAGTTTGTAGAATCGATAGGGAACTACTAAACTTCTGAAGAACATAAAATCAAATCGACAAAGAGATTAAGAAAAAAAAACTTACGGTGTCGTCTCTTTGAATCTGAATCTTCTTCATCTCGGAGGTAGCCATGGATCGAACTTGAAATCGAGGATAAGAGTGAGTAAGAGTCCTACTCAGCTTTGAAGCTTTGAAGTTGAGGTTGAAGAAGACCCTGGAACCGTAGAGCAATGCCATTATTTACGAATTTGCCCTTTTTCTACCTAACCGCTCACTCACACACGTACCACACATATTTTATATATTTTTTTAATTCTTGATAATATCGACAAGATACTCCTTTTATTCAACTTAACGGCGTCGTTTCTGATTTATCATATTTAGGTTTGTGTCTTTTATTCACCTAAAATAATATTATTGTACTGGTTTTGAGAAAAGTCGTTACCTTTTAAATTTAGAGAATTGTAATTGATCATATATTAATATCGAGAATAACTCTCCAAGAGAAACGACTGTTGGAAATAAGTAACAGATGATTACACAAAAACAGTTGTCAAAACAGATGAAATGTTTATCCGAAAGCTAAGCATCATCGGCTACTAACTCAGCCTTTTAGTGACAAACCATCATTTAGCTTAACACTAGTTGAATCCGAGTGGCAAACCTTTAGCTAGTTGAACGCTAACGCTAAATCACCAGTGTTTACAAACATGGATGAATGACCCCTAAACACTATCACCAGGGGTGCTGGCCTTAGAACCCTACAAGGGGGCACCAGCCCCTTGACCCCTGTCATATGGCGTTATCCAGTAATCCCGTGATAGAGTTACTTTACATGAGTGTGCACTATGCACCTTGCAACCCGTGTTATAACTTAACTAACAACCACATATTATCATTGTTAATCTAATTACATAAAATAAACCAGTAATTTTACTAAAATTACCAATACCTTATCATAAAAATGTATTTTAGGGGTACAGTATAATTTTGATTAAACCAAACATATAATTCACTCTGATTAAAATCAAATATTGTATTTTGTATGATATTATAATGTTTTGAAACAAATTTCAGAAGTATAGTGTTATGTTTTTTTTTATTAACCTGGATATTCAACCCGCTATGCGAGTCGACTAATCATAGGACGACCATCTGCTTTGCAGATAGCCCAGAGTCACCGCATTTGAACCTACGTGGTCACAAGGGGATATTTGTTCCTCCTTGAATTTGAACCTGAGACCTTCTTGTACTTTTGATCTTTGGAAGCAAGCTCAAAAAAATTAGGCACCACTCTTGTGGTTATAGTTTTATGTTTTATATTAAAAATACAACTATGTATAAAAAAGTCCAAAATAGTGTAGATACAAAATGAAAGATAGTTTTTTTTTTTGTAAATAGGCCTTTTCTTGCATTTGGTCCCTCATTCTAACAGAACGTTAAAAAAATTCCGTTAAATGAGGGGCATTTCGTTCTTTTATCCATTTTTTGTCTTTTACTCAATCAAAACCAAATTTATGATTTTGGTCCCTATAGTTATTGATTGGGTAAAAGACAAAAAAAGTAATATGATGACGAAAATGTCCTTCATTTGACGAAATTTTTAATGGCCGTTAGAGAGATGAACCAAGTTTAGACATTTTTGCATACCACGATGGCTATCTTGTAATTTCAAAACCGCAAATACAAAAAGTGTTGTTTTTAGAAAACCACAAGGACCAAATTTGTAGTTGGTCTAGCAGTATCGTAATATTTGGTTTCCTAGGAGGTCAGAGGTTCAAACTTCACCAAAGGTGAGGAGGGTGTGCGAGTTTATTTGTTGCATTTGTCATATATAAATATTATATACTTAAAAAAACATGACTGGTTTATTAGCTAACAACTATTCTAATCATTCAGCTTATTAGCTAGTTTGTCAAAACATAGACTTAAAACACGTTTGGTCTTAATTTGAACCGAACTGTAAATAGTATAATTCTATTGAAATTATCTTGATATATATGATAGGAAAAAGTGAAAAGAACCTATGAAAATAGTTGGCATGTTGAATTATATACATAATGAGCTGGTTTAAATTCGACAGGAATAATTCCAAATCACGAATTGACACGAAATCCAGGCTACTGTCATTCAACAACTACAACAAGATCAACAATTCCATAAATTTCGGCCTCAATTACTGTAACAACCCATAATTCTATCCATGATATAAATCTCAACAATCACTCATATGTAAACATAGCTGTCATAGTATAATTCGAAAGTTAATGTTTACATTACAAGAGAAAATGTGGATTAACAAAAACTTTGTCAGTTACAGCACTAAGATCTAAATAACACTTTATTATATCTTTCTCTTGCCTTTATCTTGTGATGATAGATGACTTGCAAAAACAGATTAGTCTAATAATTGAGGTTTAGACCAAAAGGTCTAGTGAGTATATCTTTCTCATACAATCAATACATATTTCAAATCCCATAATTATAATAAACCTAGATCTTAATATATTATCTCATTATTCATCAAGCGCGGTTACACCGCAATTTCATCTAACGCGGTTACACCGCCATTTCATCCATCGCGGTTTCCAAACTTTAAAAATTTTCCCTCTACAACTCTTTAATCAGATAAGATATAAAAATTGCCCACACTTTATTCGGACAATTAAGAATCCGTATGGCACTAGCCGGATGGGTATGTTTCCGAACGACGCTACAACCGTATCCGGACGTCTTCGGACGGCGCATTGAACGTATCCGGACGGCACGGTGAACGGCGCGGTGAACGTCTCCGGACGGCACGGTGACCGTATCCGGACGGCACAGTGAACGTATCCGAACGGTGTGGTGACCGTATCCGGACGAGCTGTGACCGTATCCGGACGGCGTGCTGAACGTATCCGGACAGCGCGATGAACGTATCCGGACGGCGCGCTGAACGTATCCGGACGGCACGGTGACCGTATTCGGACGGTGAACGTATCCGGACGGCGTGGTAAACGTCTCCGGGCTGCGCATATGTTTTCAGACGTTTCAAAGGAATTGTGAAGTAATATAGCAATTATAAACCAGAAACATAACAAATGTATAAAACGTTTGAATCACTCACCTTTGCCAAAATCTTAGTTTGAAATAGGATTACTTCTTTTATCCGAAGATGGTAATTTTTGCTAAAGATATTCTCACTAGTATATGTTTTTTTTAAACCTCCTTAGTTCATCCAACTTACTATATATAGTAAGTTTTATGCAAAAGGTGGACTAAGAATGCTACATTCATGCCTATAAAGAATAGAGCTTTGGTTTCAAAGTGCACAAATCAGGTGTAATTTAAGTAGTTTATATAATGGGTTTTCAAACAATAAATTATTAGAACATTTAACAATTTATATACATGTGTTTATGATTATAAATTATTATTATTTATATCTCGCTGCATTGTACGAGTACCCTTCTAGTTGTTCAAAATGTGCATCCATGTCCTTATACAATACTTTAGGGATCTTTAGTTTTTTTTATTATTCTTGGTGTTGTTGTGTCACATTATTCACAAGGTGGCCATAACATGTAAAAAAAAATAGGTGATCATAATATTTAATTGAAACAATATATCAAATAATGGTTCACAATATGATACTATAGATTTTTGCTTTTGGGTTCACCCTAGAAGTTTGACTGATGTTCAAACTTAATTATTGACTTTGCTCACAGTTTGTATCCAAGCACTTACAAGATGTTTTAGTGATTTGTAGTTTTTGTTTTTTGATTTCTTTGTGTTCAAATCGTATTCACAGTTAGTTACTTGGTGATACTTGTTAAGTTACCGAGTGTTTACAATATGTTAGGTTACTTGTTTGATTTAGTTTTATTTTGTGGAGGAGAGGAGAGAGAAAATCTTTAAAATATTCAAAATAATGTTTTTTTTTAAATTTTATTAAAATTATTAATATCCTGATATAAACCCTCATTTTAATATGATTTGTGGTTTATATTGAATCTCACAGATCTCACAAATTACACAATTCTTAAAAACATTCTATTATATTTATCTCATTTATAAATACTAGAAGAGTACTCGTGCAATGCAACGAGATACATCTTGATTTTAATATTTTATTTTATTTTTTATCTCAGTCGATGTTATAATATGGTCTTATGTGATTTTGAAAAAACGATTATGTTTTTATTTTTCAATAAAATATAAATTTGAAGATATCATAAAAATTTGACAAAAATATATCAATATTAGTATCAAATTAACTATTTAAAATTCCACATTTTTTGTGTAATTTTTTAATTCAATCTTTTATTATAATTTAATTTAGGTTCAATAACGAAGTAATTTATATTTGGTTTAATAATATAATTTTATTACAAAGATAATAATTAATTATTTTGTTAGAAGTCGATAATTATCCTAATTATAAATTAGATTTTTTATATTTTAAAGTGAGATGTTTATCCTCCATTTGATTATGTTTATCCGCAGTTAGTTACACGAATTCAAACATGGAGCTTTAATAAGTTGTATTTATGCATAATTTACTTGTAATTTTGAATTTTAAGTAATATGCATCAATATACAGTACGTCATGCATAAAAAATAGTTTTTAAGAGTTTTTGTCAAATATTTTATAATATAGTATAGATTATATTCTTTTTTAAATTTTCTGGAACTGTTTTTCATATTCGTATAACTGAACATTTATGTATGTTCTAAGACTTATGGCCTAATTTGGTACTTATTTTGTGTTACAAATCAATGAATAAATCGCCGACTTTTCAAACATAAAAAGATATCGTAATTTATATCGACGAATAACTTTGGATATTGTTATTATCAGTGTTTTTTTTTCATATTTTGTTCAATTTTTTTACTTTTTATAAATTAAAGTATTTATTTTCATTTTCTTTTACAAGATTAAAATTTAATTTATAACAAACTTAATATAAAATATCTTATAAACTTAATTTTAATTTTGGAAACTTTTATATTCATTTAAAATATTTTATATAATTAATTTAAAAATAAAAATATTATATTATCGAGATATTATTATTGTAATCGAAGTCAAATCTAGTGAATATGTTTTACAACACAAATAGAACCTCGAGTAAACTACAAATTTGGTCCCTATAGTTTGGTGAAAAAACACTTTTTATCCCTACAATTTTAAAATCACAAGACACCATCATAATTAACAAAAATATTAGAATTTGGTTCCTTTCTTTAACGGTTATTAAAAATTTACATTAAATGCAAGATATTTTTTCCATCATTTAATGGAATATTCTAACGACTGTTAACGGAAGGCATTAAATTCGAATGTTTCTACATACCATGATCTCTATCTTGTAATTTTAAAACTAAAAAGATAAGAAGTATCATTTTGACAAAGTACAGGTACCAAATTTGTAATTTACTCTAAACCCTCTGACAGACACGTGGCTTTATTTGGAGAAATGTTTTCCATGTCACTAGCTGTCACTTTAGCATATCCTCCCTCACCCACCAACCCAGCAGCTCTTTATAAATCAGCCCGCCTCACTCTCATCTGACGCTCTCAGACAGACACAGATTCTAGAGAGAGAAAGTGTGTGTGTGTGTGTGTTTGTGCGCACATATAAGGAAGAAAAATGGAGAACTTGCCAGAAACGCTGTACGTCGATCCAACAGCTGCATCTTCTTCCACCACCGCCGCCGCCGGACCTGAATCGCCGGCCGTCGAGCGTGCAAAGATTGAGCAGTGCATACGACTGCTGCATCAGCCTTCCGGCAGAGAAGAAGCTCTTGCGCTGCTAAACAAGGTATATATATATATATATGTATATATAATTGTGTGTGTGTGTGTATGCATATACATATCTGATGTGATCGATTTCGTTTATACTTTGGATGATCGGATTCAGATCAGCATTCTGTGCATGTTAAGCCTATTCTGCTGAATTCTCCAGCAGATTTGCTTATAAATATTTGGAGAAGTGTATACTTGTTTATGTTGGTGCGTATGTAGCATGCATAAGCATAACGTCTAAATCTGCTGTTCATTTCATATATGTTTGTGTGTATCGATCTATGTGTGTGTATATATGCATATGTATATATATATATATGTATGTATATATATGCATAGATTTTCTGCTTTGATGAGGTCCGATCTGCTGTTAATTCCGTATCGGATGAATATTTTGATGCTGATTTCACTTGGATGTCGTTTTGCATCGTGGTTTCTTGATAATTTTTGGGGACCATGAAATCACTTGACGATTGTTGATATTAGAAACAATGATCAAGTGATTTCACGGTCCCAAAAAATATTATCAGAAAAACCACAATGCAAACCGACCCTTTGGTGTTGCTTGTGCACCAAGCTAAAAGAAATAGGAGGGTGGTGAGACTAGTTGATCATCGATTACGTGACCATAAAGATGACGCATACGATGCAGTCGAACTCGTAGGATTCGTGATCGGAATATTTATAGAAACGAATTCATCATTTTAAGATCTGCGGCGTTGAGGTTTAATTAGAACAATCCATAGAAAGTTATCTTGCTATACGAGGCTCTATACGAATCAAGGATAAAATCATCGAATTTATAGCATCGGACATCAAGATTCGCAATCTTTATTGATAATTAATGAGCGTATTTACGATGGGTTAATAAACGTATATCGATTAGTTCTCGATCGATGTTATCCGGTGCTCGTGATCATTCTTTTCTCTTGATCTATTTTTATTCAGGAACGAAGAAGTAAAGAGATGCCAGTGCTGCTATGGAATTCCAAGAATGTATCCTTTATCCTACTACAGGTATCCACCCAACTCAACCCAACCCAACCAAACGCGAAATAACTTAACCTGAAAGTAACCCGATGTCTAATCGAGTTGTAAAATTTTCAAACAGCAGGTATTGGGTTAATTAGTATCGTTTGAACTCAATTCAATCCGATGAACCCGATATCCTTTTATTTCTTGGATTTAATATGATTGGTGAATTTCTATTAATATATACATTAGACAATTACATTATCACGTACGATATTCATATATACACATATTTTCAGTCTATTCACATCTCTATCTAAATCATTCGTATATATGTTCAGTAACTATGAACATATATGTAAATTTAGAAAATTAACTGAATGTGATATATACAAGAAATATGGATAAGTTGTATCAAATGGTTGATGATGAAAAAGAAATTATAGAGAAATAACATATTCAATGTTAGAAAAATATTTTAATAAAGTATCAACCCGACCAACCCGTGCGGTTTGGGTTGGATTGGGTTACGATTTTTCAAACCGCAAACATTGAGTTGGGTTGTTCAAATGTCTTCAACTCGATTAACCCAACCCATAAACACCTCTAACTACAAGAATGTGTTCCACACCCATAGACCCAACCGTACTTTGAGATAAAATTCCTATATATAATGCCCGTCAATTGAACCCGAATCTTAGATTTAAATTCATTTGATTTCTCTTATTTTGTTTGCTATAATGTTATTGTTGTGATAAATCATTATTTTATTTTTTGATTTTTCCAACTTTTTTTTGTATTTTATTATTGACTTATGAAAACAACTTATTGACTTATTCCGGTGTGACACCGATAATACGCATTTTTGAGTGTTTGGATAAACAACTTGTACCGGTGCCAAACCGGTAGTATAGAGTTTTTGAAGAAGTTAAACGCTTCTGACTTATAATAAGTTGATAAGTGCTCTTGTAGAAAAACATAAGTTGTTTCAAATAAGCAATCCAAAACACCCTCGATATCTATATCTATTGCTATTTGTTAATTATCGATTTTCTGTTTGCTAATTGTTATTTTGATTTAGGGTTCTTGAACTTATTGTTTATTTATGGTTTAAGGTTTGCTATCGGTTTGTCTATTTAATAATAAGTTATCTTTATTTAATTAATTGAACAACTTAAGAACTTAAGCCAAAAAAGAATAACCCGAAACCGTTCTGGTTCAAATGAATTATTTGGTTTCGAAAGTTTTTTCACACCCCAAAATGTGCCCCAACCAAAAAAAAAAAATCTAAATCCGTCATGAGATCGATGTAGGACTCCAACACGTCCCTTCGAGAGTTTTGAGAGGAAACTAGACGGGTATAGATTCCCTAGAGTTTCGAGTACATAGAATGATAGATCTTGGCTCTGATACCATGTGAAAACATGTGGAACCCCATTAGATTACTCTTAAAAAAAGCCTTTGAGAAAGAAGAGATGTTCAGAGAAGATCCGAGTTCGGCTGATATGAAACTCTAACACCTGTGAATAACGAGACGACTACAATGTTCGCTTGTTGCAGGAAATTTGCACCGCGTACAGGTTACTTTCACCTCCGGCGCTCGGCATGAAAGAAGCGACAAGAGTTTGCAATGCAATCGCCTTATTCCAGGTCAAATCGGTCGTTTCCTCGCATAACCTTGTTGAAAGTCGATCGAAATCATGTTATTGAACTTCAAACTATTCGTGTTCTCGTGTTGCAGGCGATGGCATCTCATCCGGACACAAAAATGGCGATCGTGAAAGGTATTTTCCGCTAGCAATCCATGGCGAAATGTCGGTATATTCAATAATAGACTAAAAATTTTCTCACGTTTTGCAGCCAAAATACCTGTTTACATTTACCCTTTCCTGAACACTACCGAGCAACGACACAAGCATTTCGACTACTTACGTCTCACCAGCTTAGGCGTTATAGGCGCGCTTGTGAAGGTACTAATAATCACTCGTTTTTTCGAACCACCCCATTAGCAAAAAACATCAAATTTGTTCCCACATAAAAACAACTGCTCTACTCTTTGGGATAGAGGTCAGATCTCCATAAGTTTTACCATCTCCAGACCCGACTCTCAGATGGAATATACTGTGTTTGTTTGGTTTTGGTTTCATCAAGTTTGTTTCGATATAAACACCGTCTTCAAAAAATGTAAACAGACGGAGGACAGCAACGCCCAAGAGATCATTCACTTCCTTCTCGAAACAGAAGTATTTCCGTTGTGCCTTCGCTGCATCGAAATGGGCGGTGAACTCGCGAAAACGGTTTGATCACTTTAATTACTGATACATCAAATCTTAATCTATACATCGTTGATTTTATTTATTCATATATGACAAATACTCATATACACTTCTCGTAACCTTTGACCTCCTGAGAAACTGTTAATATGGGGCGGATTTTGAACATAAAGGGTAGGGGGCACTAGCTTGCCCCCAACAAATAAATGATCTGCTAATCCTAAATTTTCTATTATGCCCCCAGCAAATAAATGCCACTGTTTCGGTTATCCAATCCAACCCTAATAAAAGCTAAAAAAAAATTGTTGGCAAATGGTAAAAGTGGTAATGCTGATTTTAACTGATTTTTTTACTGGTTTATTATTTTTTTTATTAATCTGGATATCCAACCCGCTATACGAGTCGACTAATTCCAGGGCAACCACCTGCTTTGCAGATAGCCCGGAGTTACCGTATTTGAACCTCCATGGCCACAAGGGGATTTTTATTCCTCCTTTGATTTGAACCTGAGACCTCCTTATACTTTTGACATTTGGAGCCAAGCTCAAACCAATCAGACACCACCCTTGTGGTTGTAAATATAATGTATTTTACTATCTGAATATAATGTTTTGACAATTGTAGTAAAATGTGTTTTTAAGTTAATCCATTTAGTAAAAAAGTAACTAAAAACCAAACCGATCGAGGCGAATAAGCTATCTTTATTCGATCGGTTAATCGAACCGTGCAAGTCAAAAATCGAATAACCCGAAGTCGTCTTGGCTCAAATAGGTTATTCGATTTCCATATTTTTTTGACACCATTTACAAAAGTTTCTGGATCCGCCGTTGTTTATACCATTATAGGCCAACGACCATTTGGTTTATTTAGTTCTTGTTGGTCATCGATTAGTTTGAAAATGCAGGTTGCAGCGTTTGTCGTAAGTAAGATTCTAATGTACGAAGAGGGGCAGCGATACTGCGGGTCGTTCCCGGAAAGATTTTACGCGGTGGTACAGGTTTTGGCCAAAATCGTAGACCAGTTTCCTGGAAAACCATCGTTGCAGTTGCTGAAGCATATATTAACCTGCTTCATGCGACTATCTGAAGTGTCTAGGTTAGTCGGGTAAATTTTGACCCCTTAAAACTTCCAAGCCTTTTTGCTCTTGGGGTTGTGTGGGTTGACACGGGAATTGCTGGTTACAAATTTCTTTAACACAACAATAGAGCAGGGTTCAAAAGAATTTTATACTTAAAACCTTAATAAACTGGAGATGTTTCACTCTATCAAAAAAAAAAAAAAAAGCAACAAGATCTATTAAAATCAAAAAAAAAAAAAAAACCCAGGGGCCAAGTCCCTAATGGTCATCCGTCCCTGTCCCTTTGAAAGGCTTTTTTACCATATAATCTCGTGAAAAGGGTCAAAAATCTGTTGTCACCCAAGTTCGTTGTTATTTCTTGTCCATCTGATCATATCATTAGAGAACTTTTATTCGAGCTTTAAATCTTTTGCTCAAATTACGAGCTCTTAAAAACTTGTTTTTTCGTTTGTGGGTCTATATTTCTTGAAAAAGACTTGTAACGGAAAAAGTCCAATCATTGTGAATGCTGTTATATATTATTGTCGATTGTAATGCTATCATCGTGTTGATCGATGTTCGATCTAACTCATGTGATCGAATGCGTAGGCCTTGTGATGCTTTGATGAAATGCTACCCTGCCAGATTGAGAGATCCTGCATATCTCAACTTCGTTTGTGTAAGCTGTTTATCCAAACACTCATTATAAATTATTTGAAAACAACTTATGTTTTTTTTCTATAAAAGTCCTTATCAACTTATTATAAGTTAGAATGATTTAACTTCTTCAAAAACTCCTTATTACCGGTTTTGCACCGGTATAAGCTGTTTATCAAAACACTCAAAAGTATTTATTACCGGTGTCACACCGGAATAAGTCAATAAGTTGTTTTTATAAGCAATCCCAAACACCCAGGTCGAATATTATTAATCGTTTAAGGAGTCTATTTTGTCAACTATAATACGCATATATTATGGGTTGTTGATTTTTGTGGTTTACTTTTTATAGGAAGACATTGCTGTTCGAAGGTTTGCTGATCAAGTGCTGCTCCATGTGACTACTCCTAGTCATAGGCTTGGTTGATCCAACAGACGTTGATCTAGTTATAGAAATTTGAAATTACAAATGGGCGGAAAACCCCCCCGATAATTGTTAGTTTATTTAGCGGAGTTTTTTTTGACTTGATAATGGTTTTCTTAATCGTGAATGTTTAGGTCAACTTACAATCACATCGACTAATCTTCTAGCGTCTTAAACTACTTGACAGCACACGAACCCTTCTGTTGATTAAGATTTTACTAGTTAAACCGCACATCAAAATGTTGGTATTTGAGTGTTATACAAGTCTACTGAAACCACAAGGGTGGTGCATGAATGGTTTGAGCTTGGCTTCAAAGGTCAAAAGTACCTGGAGGTCACAAGTTCAAATCCAAGGAGGAATAAAAATCCTCTTGTGGCCACGGAGGTTCAAATGCGGTGACTCCGGACTATCTGCAAAGCAAGTAGTCGCCCTGGGATTAGTCGGCAAAAACAAGTCTACTGAAAATGACGAGTTTTAAACTTTGTTTCGGTTTCAATCAGATACAACGAGCCCAACCTATATGAATATAAATGCAAAAACTAAATCGATATCGGTCTGCCATGGTTCACCGATACTACCGATAATCTAATTAGTCATTCAGCTCAACACATTAATTAGTACATATATTTTTGGCAATCTTAACAACTTATTATCATATTCCTTGACTGATGCTCATGGATCTATCTTGTTATTCCTTGATAGTTGAAAATTTCACCACCCGTCATTAAGTTGTAGGACGAAGGATCGTGTGAGAATAGGAGTTAACGTAAGAAGCATAAGAAAATAGACCATTGATCACTTTTAATCTCACCTCCACCCTATGAATTGTGCTTATCATGGGAATTGATCCGGTTCATCTCGGTAAACCGTAAACCACATTAGTGTTGATCTTCAATTATTATTGATTCAAAGGTGGAGATCTCTTCTGATGCGGCGGGTTTGGGCATTGAGGACCAGACCCTATTGTTCTCGGAGGCCCATGATAAGGCTACCAAAGGGGGGACGCGCTTGAAAGGTCCTAACTATATTGGTCCTCTCTGTTTCAGGTCCACGACCGGTCGGATTTGAAGCCTGTAGCAAGGAGCACGCCTTTTGAAGCCTGAAAAAACTGTTTAAGTATGGTTTATGGACATGTTCTTGTTTTTTACTCATTTTTGGCATTGTCATTGGGCTTTTTATGTCTGGTCCCTTTCAGGTCCGTTTTGTTTTGGGGTTCTTATTTATATATGTCTTGTGAAATCTGGATGCACATTTGGATTTCAAAAAATTTGATTTCATCCCAAATTTTAAGTTCTCGTTAATTCGAATTTGAAGCCTAGGTTCGGTATTCATCGAATCAACGAATCCTAGAAAAGAGATTAACCACAAGTATTCTTAAAATCAACAAGGTAACCTATGTTTTCATTGTTATACGCTACATCGCCTTCTTACCATTCTCACCATAACTTATATTCTTACCGGAACTTACGACCAACCCCACAAGGAACTGGTCCCTTAGGAACCATAGAGACGTTTCTAAACTCACACAGCAGCTGAGGCTAGCAGAAGGGTTCAACTTCGTCTCCCACATGATTCAAACTTGAACATGTAAATTATTGGGGGCAAAGTCGCTCCGCCCCTTTGCCAACTGAGCTACATGTCTGAGAGCATCAACATGAGTACTTTATTTATTTCAAGATCAAATTCATAAGATGTGTATATAGGATCTATCATCCATTACATTCCTCCCCTCTTAACAACAATCTTGACCTCAAGGTTGTTCAGCAAAGTTTGGAATAACAGAACACAGACAGACATTGTTTCTCAGCCAACTCCCTTTACAATAATCCCATTAAGCACATAATGGCATAGTCCCAAATCAGACTCCATGATAAGCCCTTTGAATCTCACTTTATTGTTCGCAAATCGCTAACCTGTTGAAGTTTGTTGAAGCTTGAACCCCTGGCATCATATCACGACTGTCCAACATAATAAAAAACATGTCTGAATTGAATTCAGCGTTTCTGCAACCTCCAAGTAAAATTCTTACAAACAAATTGACATGCAAGATGTTATCTTGCTACCGTTACTGCTTGAGAAGCAATGGGGGGTTTTCTTACAAACAACTGCGCCATGTTCTTATTATGAGCTTCAATCCGTTGATTCGTTGATCTTATATGTCCGTCCATGGCTATCTCGTCGCAGGTGCCAAGGTTGGTGAATCACTTGTCCGGGTTCCTAGAAATTAGGATTCTCTTAGGTCCCGTTTGGTTTGCAAGATTGGATTGAATTTGGAATTCAATTCCATTCCTATTTCATGTTTGGTTTGAATGAAATCCCATGGGGGTTGTTGGTATGGTGTTTCTCATCTCCTAACTCGGGTATCTACGAATTAGGAATGCACATGGGTTGGGTTTGAACATGTTTCTTCAAACTCAACCAAATGATTTCAAAACCTACCCCTCCCAATTAAAAATCATGCTCCTTTCCATCTATTAAAAATTCTTCCCAAACAAAAACCTTCCCAAACTTGTACAATCCACACAGACAACCTTATCCATACAGAACTTAATGGAAAACCAACCAAACAGCCCTAGGTTATGAAGTTCAGCTTCGGTCCACAACCCGAGATGGGAAAGTGGTCAGTATGAAAAAAGCTATCTGTGTGGATTAATCAGTCTATATAGATTGGAAAAGTTTTTGTTTTGGAGGGTTTTTCATAGATGGAAAGTGCGTGTTTTTTTAATAAGGAGATACATGTTTGAAAAAAACTTGGTATTCTGCATAAAGCTATAGCAGCTTACTAAATAAGCCACTTTATCTTCTATATCCTCAAGGCACTATCAAAAAGTCATGTATAGCTGACCGAAAAAGTTGTGAGTTAAGTTGCTAACAAACAGGCCCTAAGTCACACAAAACAGTACCATTTTGCGTGCTCATGGCCACGGGTGTTGGCATCTCCATCTTAGATGTAAAGTTTGTTTTGGTAGTTCTATCAGCATCAACTATTGCACTAAAGCCATCACCAAAAATGGTCTTACATCCATTAACAACCTGTTCATACTAAATTTTGACACAAATTCCTTGCCCTATTTCAATGATAGCAAATAACCAGAATTAATTTTAGCTGAATTTAGGTTATCCTTCTCTGCTATTTTGTGCTGTTGAACAGTAATGGTTGCACAATTTGCTGCCACTGGAAAATACTTCAGCAGAGAAGTATTCAATTACTATTTGATCAACTGTTTGATTTATGAACATCTAGAATTCTCAAAGTACTCATTGACCAATGATTCTTTGATTTGTGAACTTCTAGGGTTCACCACCATATGTTGAAATGATAATTAGAATGAGCACATGACAGAATTTAAAGTAATTAAATTTATATTACACATACATGCTTGCTGTAGATGCTAATCAGAAAATGCTATCCGCTGTTAAGCAATTATCATAGATGAGTCAGAAAAAAAATCAGATTGCAGAAAGTTTCAAAATATACCTCCTGCAGATAATTTGTAGGCGGGAATGAACTAAATTTTGACAGCTTCTCACTAGCAGCTCTATGAATCGTGGAAAGAATCTTGCACCATCGACCCTAGGAAATCAGTTCGTTCATTAAACCAGTCATCATTTTCTTTAGCCATCATATTGGTAGAACTATAAGCATTGATTTGTCACTGACCATCTTGGAAGTTGGAACCAAGCTCTATCTGAAGATTGTTTGTCTGAACTACTAAAATCTGACATATGCATCCACTGCAGAGACAATGGGATGCTAACGGCATGTTTGTTAGCAGCTTAATGAGCTTAATAGGACTCATAGAGTTATACAAGACTGCTTGATAGTGGCTTAATGATATAGAGAGTGGTTTATTCCGTAAGCTTCTAGGAAGGAGCTTTATGCAGAAAGCCAAGTTTGTTCCAAACCTGCCCTTCCAGTTAAAGACAGGCTCCTTCCACCTATGGAAAAACCCTCCTAAACAAAAACCTTGCCAATCTGTACAAACAGCTTTATCCATACATGACTTAATGGAAAACCAACCAAAAAGCCCCTAACAGTGTCTAGAGCTCTAATTCATTTGGAATAAAGTTATTAAGCAAGGATAAGAAAGCTATTGCATTGACTTTGGACTATCAAATGAAGAGTCATTTTTATTAGTGGTGGCTTTCTTGGCAGTACATTCCTGACAGCTAGCATTTCCAACCCAATCTACATTGATAACTTCTGAAACTATTTACATAGGCTTTGTTTTGGTACCAAGTTTAAAGTGCTCTGCCCTGAGAGACGAAAGTGTTGGTGGCACTACCTTTCTGCCAGATGGCATCTTTAAACCAATCTCTATCAACACCAAACAAAGATGCATCAATTAGATTAGCAGATGTGGTCATTTTTTGCTTGAAGCAACCTACTCAAACTGCTCTACTTGCTGAGAGACTGCACAGCTAATCTTCGTGAATGGGGTCATCTTGAATCCTGTCATCGCCTGTGGGAGGAAGAGGGCCTAAATTGTTATTCTGATTTTCGTCGTTCAAGTCTTCCATATACCCAGAATCTGAGTCCATGGGGGCAGAGAGATCGGCTTCAGAACCTACAAAAACTGATTTAGAATCCTTATCCTCATCCTGCATTCTGGAGTCAACAGGCTGAATTTCTGCATCATCTCCAGACACAGAACCACCACTCAAATCAGAGGATATGGCAGCACTTTTAGAATCAGCATTCTGTGTCCTGGAATTTGGAGACTGAATTTCTGCGTCATCTCCAGATGAAGGATCACCATGCAAATCAGGGGATACACCAGCAATATTAGAATCCTCATTCTGTGACCTGGAATTCACAGACTGAATTTCTGCATCATCTCCAGATGAAGAATCACCGTGCAAATCATGGGATACAGCGGCAGCTGTAGAATCCTCGTTCTGTGTCCTGGAATCCACAGACTGAATTTCTGTGTCATCACCAGATGAATCACCGCGTAAATCATTGGATACGGCAGCAGTTGTAGGATCCTCGTTCTGTGTCCTGGAATCCGAAGACTGAGTTTCCGCATCATCTCCAGATGAAGAATCACCGCGAAAATCAGGGGATACAGCAGCAATTGTAGAATCCTTGTTCTGTGTCCTGGAATCCGCAGATTGAGTTTCTGCGTCATCTCCAGATGAAGAATCGCCACGAAAATCAGGAGATATGGCAGCAATCGTAGAATCCTCGTTCTGTGCCATGGAATCCACAGACTGAGTTTCTTCATCATCTCCAGCTGAATATTCGCCACTCAAATCAGCAGTTTCAGAATCCTCATTCTGTGTCCCCGAATCCACAGAAATTTCTGCATCCTCACCAGAAGAAGCATCGTCACTCAAATCAGAGGATCCAACAGTTTTTGAATCCTCATACTGTGTCCAGGACTCCACAGTCGGAATTTCTATCTCGTCTTCAGATGAAGATTCACCACTCGAATCAGAGGATGTGGCATCAGTTTTAGAATCCTCAATTTGCGTACTCGAATTCAAAGACTGATTTTCTGCAAAACGACCAGGTGAAGCATCGCCACTCAAATCAGAGGGTATGGCAGCAGTTTTAGAATCCTCATCCTGTATCCTGAAATTCACAGACTCAATTTCTGCATCATCTCCGGATGAAGAATCATCACGCAAATCAGAGGACAGGGCAGCAGTTTTCAAATCCTCATTCTGTATCCCAGAATTCACAGACTGAATTTCTGCATCATGACCATATGAAGCATTGTTGCTCAAATCGGAGGATATGCGACCAGTTTTAGAATCCTCATTTTGTGTCCTGGAATTCACAGACCGAACTTCTGCATCATCACCAGATGAAGAATCACCATGCAATTCATTGGATTCGGAAGCAGTTTTAGAATCCTCATTCTGTATCCTGTAGTTCACAGACTGAATTTCTACCTCACTTCCAGATGAAGACTCTCCCCTAGAATTAGAAGATGTGGCAGCAGTTTCAGAAGAAGGAAAATTCTGGAATAGACTGAGATTTTGTTCATCTACAATCTCGTCATTTCGTTCACCTTTGCTGGTAACCGGCTGTTCTTCAGATACATCAAATCCAATATCTCTTTGTGATCCTGTAAAGTTGTCCAATTCAACTTTACTAAAATTCAAAGAACTGCTGATATGGCTAAAGGTCTTGTTGACAAAGCCAATCTCAGGTTTCTCACACTCATCTCGCCATGAAATCTGCAAATCTAAGATCTCAGATATAGTTTTTTCGTCTTCCACTGGTGTCGCTCCGTTGGTCTTTCTATATTCTTCGTCAAAAGACCCAATTCTTTCCTGATAGTAACATAAACTTTTAGTGCAAGGCATAATGCATCTGATCACACAAGATTAATGTATCAAAATGGCCCTATAATCAACACCGAATCATACACTTGAAAGACAGAATTAAACCTAGTCCCCAAATCTGCATGGATGAAACCCATTTTATGATCAGCAAATAGAAAAGTACTGAAACTATCCCCCTCGAACCCCTCCTTTAGAATACTACGGAAATTGATACAAAAACGAACGAATCTGAACGAATTTATCACTAATCAGATGAACAAAAACACTAACCGTGCCATTTAATTCCAAAGACTGAAGTAGCCAACGATAAGCAGTGGTGGATTTGAATAAGATAGAGTCAGGAGGTATGTGATTGGCCTGGCATAGGCCGCAGTATATGCAAATGATTGAGTTTGAGCCTCTGAGAAGCTTTCCTTTACAACGCGTACATCTGAGGCGTGGAGACGATGGGTGTAAAGAAGATATTGATTCTTGGAGGCTTGGAAGAGATTTTAGGGTTTGGTAACAAGATGATAATCCGGCGTCTTCTCGGAAGTCGATCTGAGATTGAATGATGAGATCCGATGGCACTTCGACGGACATTTTTGTGTGTCAGTGATCAGTGTGATCTCCGGCTCCGGTGGTGATTCAGCGTCGCCAGCTTTCGTCATGGCGTTACTGTTTGCTTGGGATATTTAACGGTCCATCCATGGTTTTTAAGCGATGAGGTTTAAAAAATTATAATATATTTTTTTTCCTTCTGAAAATTGATGCACTGATTTTGATTTTATATATTTCAATTATTTATCATATTTCTAATATCAAGATACTAAGGGGTTGTTTGTTTATCTCTTAATAGTCTAATTAAAAGTCATCTTTTAAATCGTTAAGAGGTGAATCTTGTTTGACAGGAAAAAAAAAGTATGTCTTTTAATGGTTTCAAAACTCTCAGAATGATTTTGTATCATGGGTCTCCCTTAACCATTCAACGCCCTAATTTCATTGTAAACAATTATATTTCATTTTGCACTATATCATGAGAACCTATTAATCATTTAGCTTGTATAAAAGGATAATTTATAGATGATTGTTTTGTATATGGCCGGGTTTTATTATGACCTAAGGAATATAATGTTATACTGATAGTTATATGGGTCGGGTTCATGAGAAACCCGTAAATTATTGAAATTTAAGTAACACTTTAGTAACCATTCATCTGTGAGATATGTACATGTGCATACAAGTAATTTGTTCGGTATGCACATGAGCATAATATGCATAGAAACCAAAAAACATATTCAAATTACTTGTATACACGTGTGCATACTGTATAGATGAATGGTTATTAGGGTGTACCTCGGTTTTTTATTTTTAACCTCACTCTAGTTATATTTTGTATGTGTCTGGAATGTTGTAAAAGCCAAAATTAATTTTCGTCAAGAGTCAAAGGAGAAAATGAGTGAGAAATGTTAAAGTAACGAAATCAGATGAATTTGTACATAAAACTTTTGTTTTATCAATCCATCAGTAGCATATTGTGTTACGTAGTTACACTGGCGTGTAACATAACAGTGGAGATAACGAGGCTCCAGACCAAAAGATTGTTAATATGTTGTTTTTATTACAAGTAGCGTGTGAAGACTCGATTTTAGTCCTATTATGATGATTAAGTATTTTAAAATATGATCAAGTATATTTCATACACTGTTTGTCATATGTTATGATAACTTATGGGTCATTTACCAAACACTTACCCGAAAAGCGTTTATCGGTAAAATTCAACACTATCAATTACTTACCGAACAAGATTTTAGTCCATCAAAAAGTAATCGTGTACAACAATTTGCCCTATAAGCGCTTAATGTGGTAAGAATCGTCGTCCTCACTTACCGGGTAAGACTCTTGGTCATTGTCTCGCTCTTACTGGGTAAGATTCTTGGTCCTTAACTCCTTATCATATTCATCTGTTAAGCTGATGTGACTTGATAAGTGCTTACCCGGGTAAGCGTTTGGTAAACGGCCCCTTAAACTACGTTGTATTGAGTAACTTCAGTAAACTTCTTACAAACATAAACGATGAAAACTCAAAACATAAAAACATTACCGAACATTCATCCCTTCCAGGGTTTCTTTCCTTTCATTTGTTCTTAGAATGGGATTTTGACCCGGTTATGTTTGATTTTAATTTGTTAACTTGGAGGTCGTAGCCAAGGTCACCCGACCCCGTTTCGATTCAACTGCGTTGCTTGAGTCATATAATTTACTTGGTAGAATATTTGCAACGAACTTTTCGCATTTGATATGCATTATTGGCAATGAAAAGGTGCTCGGTTCGATACCAGTTCATCGATTGAACTTGCTTGATATTTAACCTTTCAGCAGATCCTTGAGTTTTTATAAACTTCTTCCCGAAAAGGATATAAAACTAACATGGTTTTTAGTCATATTGTCTGGCAGTTGCTGAATGGTTTAGTGTAGAATGATTAAGTTGTCAGAATGATTAAGAGGTTTTCATGATATAGTGCAAAATGAAATATAATTGTTTGATAACTGTTTACAATGAAATCAGGGCGCTTAATGGTTAAGGAAGACTCATGATACAAAATCATTCAGAGGATTTTAGAACCATTAAGAGGTAGATTTTTTTTTTGCCAAACAAGATTCACCTCTTAATGATTCAGATGTTGCCTCTTAGTACAACATATGCCACATAAATTGACGTTTTACATTTCATATCATTATTTTTTACAATAAATACATTTTTGTCATTATGTTTTTTTCGTTTTCTTCGGCTTTGATCTATACAGTTTTAGAATTAGAATTTAGGGTGTGTTTGAGATTGCTTATAAAAACAACTTATTGACTTATTCTGATGTGACACCGGTAATAAACACTTTTGAGTGTTTGGATAAACAACTTGTACCGGTGCCAAACCGATAATAAGGAGTTTTTGAAGAAGTTAAACCTTCTGACTTATAATAAGTTGATAAATATTTTTATAAAAAAACACTTGTTTCAAATAAGCAATCTCAAACACCCTCTTAGGGGTTGTTTGTTTACCTCTTAATAGTTTCATTAAGAGACAACATCTAAATCATTAAGAGATGAATATTGTTTGGCAAAAAAAAGTCTGTCTCTTAATAATTCTAAAACCTTCTAAATGATTTTGTATCCTGAACCTTACTTAACCATTAAGTACCCTGATTTCATTATAAACAATTACCAAACAATTATATTTCATTTTACACTATATCATAAAAACCTATTAATCATTCTATAACAAACAATTTAACAACTGTCAAACCAGCATCATACCAAACCATTCAACAATTATTGTAAATTATAGAATTGTATTTATCTGCGATACCACTGTGACAGCAAGTTTAACGATATATGAAAGACGAGTTAAGTGCCGATCTCCTCCTCCCATCGGCTGTTTAAATTTTGCCATCAATCCCCTTCTGCTCTCCCAAATTCGAACCAGATCAAGATACCCCATTCATCATCAATTCCATCATCTTCAATTATTGTGTGTGTGAGATAGAGAGAGATGGCAGTGAACAGGGCTGGATCTTGCAATCCGGCCGTCGTGAAGATCGGAATTGTGTTCTTGGGGCTGTCTTTGGTAGGTTATTTACTGGGTCCACCTTTATACTGGCATCTTCTTGAAGGTTTAGCCGCCGTCCGCCGCTCTTCCTCCGCCGCATCTTGCCCTCCCTGCAACTGCGATTGCGATTCCGATTCCAGGCCTGTCCTCTCCATCCCTCAAGGTGTCTAAACCTAAATCTTTCACTTTTGCCCAAATTGGGATTTAATTTCAACACCTTTTACCATCTGGGTATCACGAATTAGACCTCTACATGCTTTGATTGCTAAAAATAGATTAGGAATCTTGATTTGATCATTGTATTTCACCCATTTTTCAAATAATTAGATCTTAAAACCCTTTTAATCATACCCATTAGATGATTTAGATCTCATTTCTCTTTGCCATCTACTTCAGAGTAAAAGATGTTAACTTCGGGAGTAAAATAGGCTACTTTTTGAAGAAATCTTGGTTAACAAGTACTAGAAATTGAAGATGTTCATGTTGAGGATAAGTTCTGTATCAAATTTACAATCACTTGTTGGTTTTCAAACCATCACACTTGCTATTTTGTTGCAATTGAACCACTGTTCTTGTGAAAGAAAAAGGTGAAAAGAATAAGAGAAGTGTAAATTGGATGGGGAATCTTGTTTTGAAATCTTTAAGGTTTTTGAAAAACCAAAGTTGGTTTAGAATAGATCAAATCAACCCGATGTATCCCACCTGAAGGTAGTGTAATGGGGTAGGATGTCCGTAGACTTGACCTCTATCTCAAAGGGTAGTGCACCTATTAATGTGAAAACCGCCAGTTTATGCAAAAGTGATGATAAACAAAGAAACCGAAGAGGTTTTGGCCTTGCAATATCCGGGCCTTTGGCCTCCCAGGAGGTCTGGGTTCAAACCTCACCAAAACGGAAGGAGGGCATGTAAGTTTATTTGTTGCATTTGCCGTATATAAATATTATATACTCCAAAATAAATAAATAAGAACTAAGCTAGTTTGATTGGTTTGAGCTTGGGCTCCAAAGGTCAAAAGTGCCTGGAGGTCCCAGGTTTGAATCCAAGGAGAAATGAAAATCCCCTTTTGGCTACGGAGGCTCAAATGCGGCGGCTCCAGGCTATCCGTGAAGCGTGTGGTCACCCTGGGATTAGTCGGCTCGCATGACGGGTTGGATATCTAGGTTAATAAAAAAAAGAATAGTAAATAGTAAGCAATAAAGTGAGAAGGAAAGAAGAAATAGGCACATTGAAACAATGTAAACACCATATATAGCTTGTAAATTTGATTTTGATGCTTTCATAGTTTTGCAAACTACGGGTTAAGAATAAAAACACGCAACAACTTTTTATATTTAAACGAGATTATTGTTCCAAACTCAGTAAAATACAATTTCTATCTCATTATTTGATTGCCTCGTATAAATTTTTGCTTTTGTTGATCGAGAGGTATATTTACTTGACCAAATTTTCTTCTTAGTTCACCATCTAGCTTGTTTTATATGCCCATTACACCGTTATCCCTTTTAAACCCCTTAAATGGCATTTTTGCTAGTAGAATCACGGCATACAACATGAATTATCTTGGATGGGTGACTCACGTGGGAAATACAACGGATATGGTGAGTCTATATGATTCATAGCCACATCCACTCATAGCCAATTTACTAATATCGGCTCTTACTTTCTTTTAGCTCACACTTTTGCACAAGTCGGGGGTTTCCACAGAAACCATCACTCTTAACGTTTGGGTAGAAGATAAGTCTATATGTGTTCATCTCTTGGCCTTGGCCCTACTTTCAAATGGGATATACTGGGTTCATTTGGTTTTTGTCCACTTGTAGTCAATTTGTTTTGACTTCTAAGTTAGAAACCTAGAGACGTGGTACAATATTCACGTATACACATGAAACGATTTGTTTATATGTAAGATTCAAATGTGGCTACACTTGAGAGAAGGGGGGAGGGGTGTGTCGGATCTAGATAGAAAAATAAGTTATACGAACCACAAGGGTGGTACCTGATTGGTTTGAGCTTGGCTCCAAAGGTCAAAAGTACAAGGAGGTCCCAGGTTCAACCCCCTTGTGGCCACGGAGGTTCATGTGACTCCGGGCTATCTGCAAAGCAGGTGGTCGCACTGAGATTAGTCGGCTCGCATAGTGGGTTGGATATCCAGGTTAAAAAAAAAAAAGGTTATGTGATGAGTATGTGATTCTCGCTCACTTTCACTCGTACCCCATTAGTTTTGAGTTTGAACCCCAAAGGATTGACCTTATATACAAAAGTCAAGGACTCGTTAACAATAGGTAGAGATGCTTGTGTAAAGAGTTTAGCTCAAATCGTTCCTTCATAAGCCAATGAGGTGATAGGAGCCTTCTATTCGAATGGAAGTTTAAATGATCGAGAAAATTTATCACTTCCTCCTTCCAAAAATAAATGTTGACGATTGAAAAGGCACACAGTTTAGAAATTTGTAATTATTACAATTTCTTAATTAACTAAATGACGATTTTACCCTTATTAATGAAGGAGGTTATGAATTCCTCCATCTCATAATTATCGGTAGAATTGGTAAGTAGGCACTGCTTTTGAAAGTGAACACTTATTTTGGTACAAACTAAAATAGAAATGTGGCCTCTTCCTCTAAAATCGTAATTGTTTTGAACACTTATTTTGAGATGGAGGGGTAGGAAAGATTGATCCAGATATGTAGTATACTTTCGACTCAATAGACCCGAATATGTTTTTTTCCTGCCTGTTATTTTGTTCATTGTTCGACTGTAGTTATGAGTCTGATATTCGGTTTATGTTTCTTGCAGGACTTGGCAACGGTTCCTTCACAGGTTAGTAAATAAATATCTACCAAAAATGTTTTTCACGGATTCAGATTGCTTTTACGTTTTATTTCCCGAATACCATTTGCATTGGAGCTTTTTCCAAAAAAGTGGGACCCACAAGCAAAAAACAAGCTTTTCGAGAGCTTGTAACTGCACTAGCAAAAGCACGGGTTTTTTTTCACAAGCTTAGATGGCAAAAAAGCTCCGTTATAGATGCTTTTAGAAAGGTTCAGATGATAATTAGATTCGAACTATATCTGGATAAATGGACTCAGATGATGCTTTTGATAAATAAGAGATCCAATATTTTATTTTAGATATGTCTTGGGTGTTGTTCCGTTGTTTTTCCATTAAGGGCCTATTTGTTACTTAATGAGCTTAATGGGATTCACAGCTTATTCAGTCAGCTATATGACTGTTTGATAGTGGCTTAATGATAGAGAAAGTGGCTTATTCAGTAAGCTTCTAAGGGGAGCTTTATTAGAAGCCAAGATTTTTCCAAACCTGCCTCCCCCAATTAGAAAACACGCTTGTTTCATCTATGAAAAAACCCTCTCACACAAAATCTGATCAATCTATATAGAAAAATTAATCCACACAGAAAACTTTATCTATGCATGGCCTAGGGTCTGTTTATTAGCAGCTTAATGAGTTTAACGAAACTCACAGCGTATTCGGTGAGCTATACATGACTGTTTAACAGTGGCTTAATGATATAGAAAGTGGCTTATTTAAGAAGCTTCTAAGGAGTAGCTTTATGCAAAAAACCAAGTTTTTTACGAACATGCCCCTCCCAATTAAAAACATGCTTCTTCTGTCTATTAAAAACTCTTCTAAACAAAAACTTAATGAGCTTAATGGGATTCACAGCTTATTCGGTCAGCTATATGACTGTTTGATAGTGGCTTAATGGTACAGAAAGTGGCTTATTCAGTAAGCTTCTAGGGGGAGCTCTATCAGAAGCCAAGATTTTTCTAAGAACTTAATGACCAAACAGCCCTTAGGTCGTGTATGGATTAGACTGTTCGGTGGTTGTGTTGAATAAACAGTCTAAATGACATATGACTATTTTACCCCTGGGTGCTATTTGATCTTAATCAGATTGTGCAAAGCATGATCCTGAAGTGAATGGGGACACAGAAAAAAACTTCGCCGAGCTTCTTTCAGAAGAACTGAAGCTACGTGAAGCCGAAGCTTTAGAAAGTCAGCAGCGTGCTGACATGGCGCTGCTCGAGGCCAAGAAGCTGACGTCTCAATATCAAAAAGAGGCCGACAAGTGCAACTCGGGTATGGAAACGTGTGAAGAAGCTCGCGAAAAAGCCGAAGCAGCTTTAGCGTCGCAGAAACAAGAAAGCGCGTTATGGGAACAAAGGGCCCGCCAAAGAGGCTGGAAAGAAGGCGGTGTTAGGGCCCGTGTGCAATCTCAGGGAGGCATCGAGACCTTCTGAAACTAGGTACATTGCATTTGCATTGTGATAATATCAAGTTACAGGATCAACTATCGAGTGTTGTTTTGTTATCGGTAGCTCAAAATCGAGCTCTTTTTTTGCATCAAGTTTTTACATGCTAGTTTGAAACATTTGATAGTAGAGGTAGAGGTGAGAAAAAAGCCTTTTTGGGTTCTTGACGTTGGATATCGAGTATGATTTAGGCTCGACGATGACAAAACTGTTGAAAACTCGGGTTATAGTTTTCGAGCGGTGTTCGTTTTGTCTGAACTTTTTGTTCTTTGTATGTACTACTGAAATGAAGGTAAAGTGTTGAACCATGTAAATGTTTTGATGGTCTTTCTTTGTTTCCTAATGAATTTATTGTCTAATTTTTGATCATATCATTAGGTTATACAGATAAACCAAATGAACCCAGTAAATCCCATACAGATAGGGAGTAAAATAGAAATGAAAACACTTGTTTTGAAAGAAAGGGAGTATTTTTTACCCATTTTATCAATAACTTGTTCTTGTAATATTTGGTGACATGGATACCAAGTTTATCGTCAATTTTATCAAAACCCTTTCATAAACTGATAAACAGGTATCAATGTCATCAAATGTTATAAGATCATCAGGTTACTGGTCAAAATGTGCAAAATATAAAATTTTGAAAATTTGTTACATCAACCGAGAAAAAAAAAATTCAAGAGGTCCTAAAGTCTGATTTCACTTCTGATTTATAAGAAGTGGTCCTGAAGTCTGAAATATGAATCGATCAAACTAGTGTAAAAATATAAAAGATAAATAGTTTTTGTACAAAAGTATGAAAGATAAATAGTTTTTGCTAAGAAATTACTTCCAATCACCAAAATATGAACCATTTGATAAAGGACGGATTAGGATTAAGAGGTATTAAGGGATTCGTTTACCACTTAAAATTTCAAAAGACTTTTAGAGCTTTTAAGCTCTTAATTTAGAAATAAAACAAATGCTCTTAATACCCAAACGTCTGAACGAATCATACTTCAGATATTAAGAAGTAATTTTGAAAAAAAACAAACAAGGCCCAAGTTTATCGTCAATTTTGTCAAACCTTTTCATAAACAGGTATCAACGTCATCAAATGTTATAAGATCATCAGGTTACTGGTCAAAATGTGTACAAAATAGAAAATTTTGAAATTTTGTTACATCAACCGAGAAAAAATTCTTCATTACACCATATATGAACTTATACCAAACCTTGTTACATTTTAATGTATTTTACCTTACAACAATCAAGAAAACACAAAACGCAATACTGACAACTACTGGTATCCAATAAGAACGTCATACGCACAGAAACAACGATAAACTAGAATGACATGGGCATAGATACAATCTTGTATTTAGCTTATCCCGCTTTACGTGCCACAATGATATGCGGTCATGTCCACACACAACTACACGAGAACGACATGGCTTATGATCATCGACTGCAAATAAAGAAACTAAAGGAAGATCATACAGAATATGCAAAAACTTCATTGAACTGAGAATTGTTACAAATGGTATCTATGAGGTGGAGATCCAACACTAACATTAGATTGAAAAGTTACAACACCACAAAACCAAAAGCTAAGCCAACAGATAACAAAAAGCTTTATATCACCTTATTATAGAATGTCAGGGTGTGATGGTAGATGTATGGTGAGTTCATCCAAGTTAGGAGAGCCATGGATGCTTAATCCGTGTTCATTAGCTAAATGCAATATGCAGATGAAACAAAGGTGCGACGAGATGTCATCAATCGATGCAGCAGCTGGTCTCTTCTTCTCAGCTGGAAAAGATGCCAAGATGTTCTTAAAAGATAATGTCTCCTCCTGCAACGTTTCAGAAACCAAAATGACCGTTGGTGTCAATGTAAAAGTAAAACCAAACCAAATAAACCCAATATATCCCACGAAGACATAGGGTCGTTTTTTGGGGGGTGGTGGGAGGGTGGGGGCGGGGGTAGGATGAACAAAGACCTTGTCTCTACCCTTTGGGGGTAGAGAGGTTGTTCCCACACTCGAGTATTCAGGGGAATATCTAAGAAAACCGGAGAGGGTGCACATGCACCGCGGTGAATCTATTTTTGGGGGTCTTAAAGTTGCAACCACTTTACATTGATGTATTCTCCTATAAAGTGTTGCAACCTACGGTTAGTGTCATTGCATGTAGATTGCAAGAAGGATTAACTCACTCATATGTTGCAAAAAATCACTCTGTTTGTCAATTTTTAAAGAAACCGTACCTTTTATAATTAATTTTTTTATTTTATATTATGCTAATTATTTTGTCCCCGGTTTGGAAATTTTCTGGGTCCACCTCTGCAAGTTTTCAGTTTTTCTACTCACCTTTCTTTCTAGATGAAATCTCATAAATTCAAGAATGGTTAAGTAGGCATACAGTAAGATACAAATTCAAGATCAATTGCAAGAGTGCATATGTTGGAGGAGAAACAAAGGTGGTAGAACTTCACTGGTTACACGCTGAAGTACCCTTCAACTTCAGCCTAAATGTTACTCCCAACGTTCCAAAATAAATGTCCACATTTCTATTTTAGTTTGTCCCAAAATAAGCCTTCACTTTCAAAAGCGTCTACTTTCCAATTCTACCCTTAATTATTAGATGGAGAAATTCATTACTCCCTCTCTTATCAAGGGTAAAATTGTGATTTACTAATTAAAAAGTGTAATAATTACAAATTTCTAAAACTGCTTGTCCTTCTCGTTGTGGACATTTATTTTGGGACAGAGGGAGTATAAAACATTTGGGGTTGTCCTCAATTGCTAGGACTATTACTTTCATCATAAAACAATATGCCATTTGCAGGAACAGGAAAAGAGAACTTACTTCAGCTGATCTATGTATTTCTTGCATAGATGACCAAAGAGTCTCCTTCAGTATATGAACATCAACTTGTTTCGACTTTTTGTCATACTGGACTTCAATCTTGTTTACCTGTGTTACATTTATGAAAACAAAGCATTAGAAAGATATTTATGTTTCACAATCGAGACCAAATGGAAACAAATTGGAGTTTCAACAAACGAACCTGGCGGGGTTGAGAGACAAGTGTGCTAGAGTCTTCAACATCACTATAAGCATTACCATCATCAAATTGGCCGCCAATTCCGCAATCATCATCCCAAGATGGAAAAGCTCCATTCACTTCTTCTTGATGAAGTTCATCTGACAACAAAAATGTTACCACAATACTGTTAAATGCAGAGATTTATACTGCATTGTATATTTTCAGGACTTGTATTATGGGAGAAATGATTGTTGTACTCTATAAATGATTTTGGGCTCAAACACAGTTGTAATTTTTTCTGGAGTTACGGTTACTAGCTGTGACCATGCTCTATTCTATGAAGTAATTACAGAGTATAGACTAGAGAACAGTCTAAATACCACACATCTAGCAAATAAACAACGATTTAGATAGAAGAAATCAATTGACCTGAATGCCTCTTTCCTCTCTTCCCAAGGCACTGCACATAAAAGAACAACCATTAATCGAACATTCCAGGGGGGGAGGGGGACACATTGAATATTTTATCCATCTTCAGAAGATGGCAACCTTACCAAAAGATTTGGTAGAAGAAATAACTTGACAAGATCCTCTGGTTGGTAGTGACAATCTTCAGGAAGTGTCGTGTTACAGGGTTCTTTATTTGCAGGCAAGAGCAGTGACTTGAGATTTTTAGGTGGAACAAAGGGATCAGCCACGTCCTTGTCCAACTCTTTCACAAATTCTATATCAAGTTCAACTTGTTTCCTGTTCCTTGGTTTTTTGGGCAACAATGGTGATCCGTTTTCCTTGGCAGCATCTCCTGGACCTATAGAACATATTGCATATGAGATGAGAAACTGAAATCCGCAACACGAGTGCATACTAGGAACACAACAAAAATAGCTGATTTGGTTCGTTGAACCTACCTTTACTCTTCTGATACTTCCAATGATCAGGTCCTGCCCAGGCATTTTGTCTGGCAGTCACACCTAGTCTTAGAAACAAGAAGTCATCAACTCCTACAAATCTATCATCTACATCAGGATCATGAGAAACATATTGCTCATTTTCCTGCAAACAATATGCATGGTATATCAGCTAACTTCCTTCTTCTGTTCCAGATGTACATTACAAGTAACGGGTCAGGTTCAGAGGAAAACCGCAAGAAAACGAAAAACTAAGGAACACTTTGGTAAATCTGGACAGTATTCACATGTGCATACAAGTAATTTGTAAACAATTTGTCCGGCATGCACATGTGCATAGCATGCATACGTGAATAAAAAACAAGAAACAACTTCAATTACTTTTATGCACATGTGCATCCTGTCCAGATGAATGGTTACCAGGGTATTCCTCAAATTTTCATTATTTTGGGGGTTTTCTGCTGAACCTCCCTCTACAAGTAACACTGGAAATACTTGCATGGGTAGAATGATAAAGCACCTCATGATGATTGGGTATGAAGGGTTCTTCCTCTCTATCATAAGTGCCATTCTCAGTAGGACTCATTTTGTTGTCATCAATGAAATCCCACGTTTTGGAGTTATCATCTAGATCACCGTCAAAGTCATCATTGTCATAAGCTTCATAACCAGATTCTATAGAATTTTGGGCAAAAGTGAAGGTATCTGGAGGTCTTCTATTATTTTCATCAAACATATTGATTATATCCTTGAGACTTGGTGAGATTTCATTGTTCTTTGAGATGTTGATCATCATTTCTTCCATACACTCTACAGATGAATGAAACAATAAAATAGTTCAGAAAAAAATGCAACTTACAACCAAGAACTTCCATATAACAAGAAAAAACAAACCTTTGGCATGAGAAATATCAATTGTTTCGGCTTTATCACTTTGGACTGAACAAGACATGCACTTCCCAGGTACTTCAAGTGAATCAAAAAGTACTCGGCATCCACCATAGACTCCAAGATTATTCAGCAAGAGACCTTTTGCTCCGCCTTCATCAAACTGGGCAGATGTTTGATGGTAAAGAGGATCCACAGCAAATGCAACTAGAAAATGAAGATATTGATTGAGAACCATTTCGGAAAATTCAAAAAGTAGATACAGATTGTGCCCTTACCATCAAATTTCTTCACATTAAGAGTGTCAAATGATGATTCCAGTGTTGAAAGAGGAGATAACTGCATAGTTTTGATTCATTAGTTAGAGCCTAGTATTCAAACAACACAAAAGATGAGATGATAAAAAACCTTTCGTTCCTGCTCCTTGGTAGAATTTTGTTTCCCTTGATCAGCGTCAGTGTTGCCATCCTCTACACTGTCTGATTTAAATGTACAACACAATATGATTCCAAAATAGTCATTGGTATAGTGAAGGCTTCATATCTAATAGGATTAATACGGATGCAATATCATTATATTAAGTCCAAAAAGCTCCCACTAGTAATAATGAACAAAAGAAAGAAAGCTGAAGTAGTGGTGCAGTAACTTTTTAATTCAACACAAGTGATATACACAAACATATACATGTAAACAAAACAAAGACAACTAACCTCCCTGGACAAGGTGTGTGAAATAAGTAACTACCTTTGATAATTCCTTAAGCCACAAAGGGCAGGTGGTTCAAGAAGTTCCGCAGATCAAAATTAGTTGTACGGGAAAACGGCATTAAAGATGCAAACTAGTTTCACTCATTTCCAAAATACATCACACTAATAACTAACCATAAAAATAGGTAGAATACAAGTAATCCACAAGCTAATAAACTCTTCAATGTTTCTACGACGCAACAGCTTTTCCATTTAACATTTGAACTGATCAAATGGGAACAGACGAAAATCTAAACCCATAATATCAGGTACAAGCCATTCCAGGACTTGCATTATAACATACAAGAAAGAACTAAAGATCTTACCAAAGGGTCATTGGCCTGCCGGTACCTGGGTTACTGATGGAGCCCAGTTCTCACAAAGGTGAGATTGTGCGTGAGTATTTGCCATATATAATATCATATGCTTAAAGAAAGATCTTCTTTTTGAAAAAACAAGTACAAAGTAATAGACCAAACCTTGTTCCAAGTCTTGTCCAACACGATTAATCCCTCCAAGGACCTTATATGCCTCAGAATGAACAGAATCCACTCTCATCGAGTATATTTTAACTCCTGCTTCAAGAGTGCAACTTGCCTGCACTCAAAAAGGTGCAATGTAACTTCCATGAGTGCCCCAAATTACAAGCAACTGTGGAGTGAGGAATCTTCTTTTCAACTGTAATTCTCCCAGTAGAGTCTTTGTTTTTCTTTAGTTAAACATGTTGAATGAATAAATAAAATCTTCAATAAATTGGCAAATTAAGCAAGAAAAACAATTATTTTTATTATGTTCTCCACATTTGAGCATGTCCTCTGAACAGTCAGTGAAGAGTTTGAGTTCATATCATCAAATACTAAGTATGAAGCTGGAAGTTGTTGATATGTATAGATCAAACTTATGATCTCATATTCTAAGTAATTAGCAAAAATAAAAGTAATGTACACATGATTTCTGCAGGAAAATTGTTAAAGGATGCCTCCTTTTGAGTTTCGAAGAAACATATAAGTTGAAAATTAGCCAAACGTGACAAAGGAAGACTTCAGAATACTTGGTAGAAAAGAGTATGTAACTATAATTACTGAAAGATATTGTTGTCCTATATTGATAGAATGAAGAAAGCAGGGGCCAACGATATAAGTAACAACATTGTTGCTCTGCAACAGTGATACATTTCAAAAATATCAAAAGGGAAGATCACCTTTCATACCAATCAAGAAATGGGAGAGAAAAGCAACAACCTATTTAACATGAATAAAGAAAAATTGTTTTGAGTAACACATGGTTCCTTAAATTAAATTGAAAGAAAGTCACTGGTCAGTGGTCACAATCAAGCCCAGCACCAAGGATAGAGAAGAAGCAGAAGTCCAACAAAAAAAAGGCTTTTAAAGTGGAGATGTCTATTAGGCAGATTCCGGTCCTATGGGCTAGTTAAAAGCCAGAGGTTCATAGTTCATACATATTTTGAAAAAAGTTCCAACCTTTTATTGTATAACTCCAACTCCGCGAGCTCTAAAATAAAGAAACTAACCTATGGAAAAAATTATTGAAATTAGATCTTACCATTTCTTAAGGAACTGGAGTTCCATCTCTTTTCCATTTCAATAAGAACATTCTATGTATATCAAATAATAGGAACTACATGAAACGTGATCCATGCAGGCGCTTTGCGATAAAAACTTGAAAATAATTCAACGACATCACCTCATCAGCTATCCTAGTAAGCCTGTGTAGCTGAATGAATGGTGAATATGACAAAGTCAAGTACAAGTTGCTGAAGCAGCAGCAGCATGGTTCTCCAAACTTATTGGCCAGTGATAATATTTTTTGGTAGCTTAGGAGCCAGAATATTAATGTAAGCAGTAAGCTTAGAGTCAAATTTAAGGCATGCTTTCTTCAAGGCTGTCTCTGACCAGAAAAATATTATTGCTAATGGGCCACCTACAGATAGTCCACCATGATGCAACTAAATCTTAGATGAGCTTCTGTTTAGCACAAAAACAGTTCAAGTGTTCTTCTTTCAGGATGAATGGGAATCCACTCAATAGAAAGTGATAAGAGTTGTTACAATGAGTGAATGAATTGCAATTTTGTAAGTAAGCATGCAAGTCACACGCCAAGTACCAAAAACTAAAACTTCAAGTCTTCAACAAACATATGTGGACTGGATGTGCCTTTTCACAGAGGTCATACATTTTCAATTTAAAGTAGGTTATAAGTCCAACCACTTTTAGGCAACTACTTAGTTGAGAAGAAAATTTGGACCCGAGTTTGAACCGATAAGTTCACACCTGTTAGGGGTTCTTAGGGGTGTAGCCGTACACCTAAAGGAATCTAGCTTATGCTTCAAGGTAATCAAATAACCAGCTGTTAGGAAACTTGACAATTTGACCAACGTGGTGCAGCCCTACGCACATGCAGAACATAAATTTTGGAGCCTTTTGGCATAGCCCTACCCCCCTAAAGGCATATCCCTATGCCCCAACATTCATTTTCTTACTTGATTGTAAGGATATACTGAAATGGTCATCCAAACAGCACTTAACTCTCTAAGTCACACTTTAAGGAGATTCTGAACAAATGTCTCAATCTTATACATATTCAGCATTGATTCCTATTTAATTTAATAAAAAAAAAACTTACTTTGTCATAGACTTCCATTTTCATCAAGAGATAGACAACCAAGAACTTGTTATAATTGGATTGCAAAATATGCAGCCCTAACAGGTCTAAACCACGCAAAAGGACAACCCTTTAAGATAAAAGGAAAATAAAACTCAAAGGAATTTAAGCTAGTATCAGAAAAATATAGATTACTTTGATTAACATGGACCATAATTGATCTTCCGTACCTTCTGAAAATTGGTCTCAACATCATTTTCTTCTTCAACCTTAATAATGTCGCAAAGATGATCTATCAAATTCAGCTCCCACGTATTCTTCTGATTAATTTTCTGCAATCCCACAAAAAGGTTAAATCATCACACAAACAATAAATGAATCCGTAAAACACAATAATCCGAAACGTATTACAGACATTTTCACTAGCCAATTTGATGCAGTTCTGGAACATCTCCATAATCTGCTCTTGACCTAGAAATGGATCCGTAGGATTAGCATCAGCGGCATTGTTGAGAGTGACCGGCTTCCGGCGGATGAGAGCAGCACGGGCAGCACGCGCCTGAGCACGTTCGAGTTTATCATTGTTGGAACCGAGAAAGAAAGTGCTGACCGGAGATAAGACCGTCGTTCTCTGTTTCTGCACCACTGTAGGATTAGGGCTCAATGCTTCAGTCATTCTTGAAAAAACCCTCGTTTAACTTCAATTTTGCACCAAAATCCGGATCTCTTTAGGCTTCAAATCATCAGTATCTTTGCGATTTCGTGATGAAGTTGCAGAGAAGTGAGTATCAAGGATCGGGAGCGTAGAAGAATTCGGATCCTTTTGGAAGTTGTGTAGAAGAAAAGTGATAAACTTTTCCCTCTCCTAAACACCCATTTGAATTTGGAACAGTAACGTTACACTGTGTTTGATGTACATGGAAGTCAGTGAACTTGCGGTTTGTTGCCGTTGATCGTGGTGGTCTTTGTTCGACAACGAAATCACAACCGTCGATTAAGTTCAATAACCCATTGACTTTTAGTCTTCTTCAAAAATAGAAATATTAATTCAAAACTTAAAAGGATTAAAAGGAAATTGAAGAAAAAACTATAAACCTGAGTTTTCATAAATTCTCTGCAACTTCTAATTAATAATTAAAAGTTAAAATATTTAAGGGGTGTTTTGGACGGTCATTTGAAACAATTTATATTTTTTTAGAATATTATTTATCAACTTATTATAAGTTAGAAGTATTTAACTTATTCAAAAATTTATTATTGCCGATTTGGCACCGATATAAGTTGTTTATCCAAACATTCAAAAATGTTTATTACCGATATCATACCGAAATAAGTCAATAATTTGTTTTTATAAGCAATCTCAAACACCTTCTAAAATAAATTATAAAGTAAATTATGTTTTTCGTCCCTGTAGTTTGTTAAAATTTGTCGATTTTGTCCCTGTAATTTTAAATTTTCGGTTTTCATTCATATGGTTTGCAATTCATTTTTATTTTCGTTCTTGAGTCCAAAACATTACTTTTAAGTATAAAAAACTAAAATATAAATGAATTGTAAACCATAAGAACAAAAAAGGCTATTGTTTTTAAATCATAAAAAACAAAAAAAAAAAGAATTACAAACTGTAAAAATAAAAATTATAATTTCAAAATTATGAAAATGAAAATAAAACAGGGACTAAAAAAAACTTACTTTAAATTATATTCAACTTTCATATAGTTTTATTTTAGAATATTTTATTATCAATTATATTATTTAAATATTATAAATTTTTATCGATTTCAATACATATTTTAAGAAAAAAAAAACTTTATCTATACTATATTATAAAGTATTTGACAAAAATTCTTAAAAATTATTTTTTATGTGTAAAGTACTGTTTATTAATGCATATTACTTAAAACTCAAGATTACAAGTAGATTGTGCATAAGTACAACTTATTAAAGCTTCATATCTGAATTCGTGTAACTAACTACAGATAAATATAATCAAATACAAGATAAATATCTCATTTTAAATCTAAAATATAATTAAGATAATCATTAAGTTCTAACAGAATACTTAATTATTATCTTTATAAAATGTTATATTATTAAACCAAAAATAAATTATTTTGTTATTAAACTTAAATTAAATTAAAGAAATTACATTAAAAATGAGAACTTTTAAATAGTTGATTTTATATTAACATTGATATATTTTTTTTTCAAATTTTTATGATATATTTAATTTAATATTTTATTCAAAAATAAAATCATTATTGATTTCTTAAAACCACATAAAATCGTATTAATAACATCGACAGAGACAAATAATAAAATATAACATTAAAATCGAAATGTGTCTCGCTGCATTGCGCGAGTACTCTTCTAGTGTAAAATAATATTTATTTTATTTTATTACTGGAATGAATAAAAAAATCATTTATATTTCCTCTAGTGAGAGTTTTAAATAGTGTGAATTGTGGATTTTATCTCTGTGTTTTAATATTTTATTTGACTAGGGTCCCTATGTTATATTTATAAACCATGAGTCTTACCCGGTAAGTCATGAGAGTGCCAACTCTTGCCCGCTAAGCATTTACCGAATAAAAATGTTCCATACAATACCGTTTTAAGGGAATAAAATCTTACCTGATAAGTTAAGTGAAAGTGTTGGATCTTACCATTAAGCACTTAGAAGACAAGCGTCGGATAAATCTCGGTGTTATCTTTTATCCTTATCTCTTTATTTTGTGTTGGATGCAGTTTTCGGTTTTATGTATCACCATATTTACATATTGTTAGAATACTGTTGTATACACCGAAGAACACATTTGGGTGTTCAAGCTAGAGATTCGGTGTCGACACTAAGAGGCTGTTTACCAAATGCTTACTGGACAACACTTAGCGGCAAAAAGTCATAGCCTTCACTTACCTTAATTGGTAACATTCTCGGCCATCAAAATGGGTTGTTTGTAAGCAGTCTCATATCCGCTAACCAGGTAAGAGTCTTCTACCACTTACTAGATAATAACCTCGATTGTTGTCATGCCTCTTATCAGGTAAGGTTCTCAGTCCTTCTCATGCTTGCAAAGAAATTTGTAGGGAAAAAAAATTAGGATTTTATTTCTTAAGCTGCATAACACGGGTAAATAAACTACTTAGTATTACACATGTAGGGTTGGGTTCCAGTGAGAATGAAAGTTATAGTGAGAAGGGTAAGAAGAGATCTCCATCTTTGGATCAATTCTAATTGAAAAGAACCATTAGATCAATACTAATGAGATCCACTAGATCAATTCACTTCTAAAACGCAATTCATGGGTTGTTTAGGGATTAAAAATGATCAAGGATCCGAACCTCTTCTTACACTTCTCAACTTAACTCGTAAAGTATTCTGCAATAGATATTAATAAATACATACATAATTCGTTGTAGAAACTTAACACGTTACATTACATTACACTTGCAGATTCCAAAAGACTTGGAAGACTATATACATTACATTTGCATATTCATCTATGAAACAACACATGAAATTGGTTTTTACCGTTTCTATATGATTCGTCGTGTAGGGAAGTAATGGCAATTTGTGGTAATTATCTGGCGGACATGAGGTTGACAAGGGTCTGGTTTTCATAAAAGGAGCCGATATCCCAGTCTTCCGTGGTCGACGAGAGGGTCATCAGCGCAACCACGATCGATCTCATGTTTGGCCGTAATTGGGGATTCTCATGCGTGCAAGCTTTCGCAAGCTCAGCCATCTGTAAATTTCATTATACATACTCGTCAAATGTTATTTGTGTGTTGTTTTTTGTAAGAGATTGAGTTCCTCGAAAATATTGGAACCCTATCTCTCCTCAAGGGTTCTTTTGGAGAGTCATTTGATTGCATTCCACATATCTCACATGGTATAAGAGCCAAAGTCTACCACTCTAAGGGACTCGACAATATGGGGCATCTATACCCGTCTAGCCTCCATTGGAGGGGGCGTGTTGGAATAGGATACTTTGATTAAATAACCTCTTGGTAGGGTTTTTTAAATCCATTATAGTTTGACGGGTTGAAAATGCCGGTTAACAAAAAGGATGTCACTTTCATACACAAAACTGTCTAGGAGCCTGTTAGAAGGTCATGGATTTAAAAAACACTTGCCAAGAAGTCATTTAGCTAAATAACCCTGATGGAGTCCCACATTGACTAGATTTTGATCATTTCTCCTTAATATATGTTGGAACACCTTCTTCTCCTAAAGAACTCTTTTGAAGAGTAAATTGATGGTTTCCACATATCTCAAAGTAGGACACACATGTAGGGTGTGTTTGGTACCAGACAAACAGACATAACAATTGTTGATCAACATTTGGTAAAACAAAACAGAACAAATAAAATAATCAATTTATCTCTAATGAGTTGTTTATATATTTTGATTAAGTTATCTAATTTATTAAATTATAATGAAGTTTTCTATATTATTTTATTATTAATAATAATATTAGTAAATTATATAAATTAACCAAAATAGAGAAACCATATAAAGTAATATTTTTTTAGGACAGTAAAGTGAAAGTTTAAAGAGCATAAAATAAAATAAATAAAATTTTGAAAATGAATAAAATGTAAAGAGGGAGACATATTTAATATTTTAGAAGAGCATTAAGTTTTATTTTGAGGTTATATTGGTAAAATAAAGATATGTTTCACCTTATTCCAGAGGGTGGGGGTGGAACATGTCTGTTCCACTTTGTTCTTATTTGTCCCACATAAAAGTCCTACCAAATGTAGAACAAGTAATCACTGTTCTATTTTGTCCTATCCTGTACAGTGTACCAAACACAGCCATAGAGAGTAATGGATTGCAAAATCCTGCTACACTCGGTAAGATATCACACTCACATGTAGGTGTTGGCGAATAGTTGGCTTTAGTAAACAACGTTACGAACTTGTGATGATTGATAAAGTTATCTAATTCTTCGGTTGTTTGGAAAGAAAATTGTCGTGTTCCTTTCAAGTAATCAGAGTACTTTTCTTTATTTCCTATTTTCAAATACCATTTTTCTCCAATTCTTATCCGATGGTATCTTCTTCTGGAAATCCTAGCTATTCTTAGCATGATATTAGGGAATCTCATTATTTATTGTGATTTCTCACCAGACAAGCTTTCCCCCAACAATTTTCAACGGACAAAATGAGTATTCGCCATTGAAAACAAAAGTTCATGATGTCCCTAAATGATGTTTTTAAGCACAAACGACTTACCTTAAGAACTTAATCAAGAGGGTAGCGATCCGCAAGCCTAGGATCAATCAGTTTGACCACGTTGTCTTTTGGATCTGGCTGACTCAGAACTTCATCAAACTGTAAATCATCAAAGGTCGAACTCATTAGTTGTTATCTAAGACTAAGAGCATCTCCAACAGATTCTCCAAAATGAAAATTTTGGAGTTTTTATTCTATTGTTTTTGCTCGAGCGGATCCTTTAAAACTTTCTCCAAGGCGAAGAAAGTAGGAGAGAGAGGGTAAAAATCTGCAAATTTGGAGAACCCCCAAATTAAATGCCGAAAAAAGAGAGGTTTTTTAATGCAAGTTTGTTGGGTATTAAATATAGAAAGATTTTTATTTTTCTTTCTTCAGTTTGGATTATAGAGAAACCGTTGAAGATACTGCTATGGCCATTGGCATCTTATGCAGAAC